ATCTTTTTTTTTTTGGTCTAAAGGAGGAGAGGAAAAAAACCTACCACAAAAGGGTCCTAGGAAATAAACAAAATAGATTCTAATACTGTAATTTTCAGAAATATGATTTTTAGTGGGAGATCTATAAATTTAGCTCATTTTCTCATTTAGCTATTAAAAAATGAATAATTTAGTTTAAGATTCTAAATAGTCCCCATTTAAAATCAGAAGGACATTTTTGAGATAATTATATCAATGTAGTATGATAAACTAAAAAAGACTATAATGGCTATAAGTTCACAATAAAGCAGTAGCCAACATTTATTGAGCCCTTACTTTGTGCTAGGTAATGTACATATATTGACTTTCAAACCTCAAAACAGCCCCAGGAGTACGTACTATCAGTAGCCCCATTTTACTCTTGAGGAAAATAAGGGGCAGAAGGATAAAGTTACACAAGGAGGTTAAAGTTGCCCAGGGTCAGCAATTAGTAAAGCCAGGATTTGAACCTAGCCTTACCAACTAGGGGTGACCACAGAAAGACAGAAGGTGTAAATTCAGCTGGAGGGACCAAGGGAGTGAAAGAACAGGAAGTGCCTGCCTGGCCTCATTACTAGACACTTCATGTACGATTTCAGTTAAGTCTTAGGACAACCCTGTAAGGCAGAAATCAGTATTTCATTTTAAAAATTCACTCTTTTGAAATGATTTTTCAGCTTGAATGTTAAAGTACATACCGGTATAGATCTGATTCAAGTAAAGTGAGTTGTCGAGCAATTTCTATTGGGTGTAAGGTGAGCAGGTCGAAAGTCTCTATGTGCCCAGGTCTGCTTATATGCCACTCAACTGTGGGAGGTGAACTCTGAAATGTAATATTATGACCTGGTCCATTGTCTCTTGCAATTTTTTTCCTTTGGATTATTTTAGTGATGGATTCAACCCATTTTTTCATTGCTTTACCTGCAATACATTATATTTTAAATAACATTTAAATATTCTTTATTTAATATTTTTAAAATGGTTTAAAATCACACAGATGATACCTGAACGTATCTTTGCTATAAAAAGTTCAAATGATCAAAATGAAAAATACAAGTTCCCTTTTTCCATTTCCCGGCCCCCATCCTAATCTTACTACTCTTCTCCACATGGGTAACCACTGTTAGTAGCCTGGCACGTGTTCTTCCAGATCCTTTCCAAATAAAATTAGAAAGTACTTAATTTGTAGAGACTGTCCACCCCATTGTTCTGATCTTCAGTTTAATGTATTATTTTATAATCCTCCAAAAGGTATATCTTATGTAAATCACAAGATTTATAAGGATAGATTATACACACTATTAATCTAATTCACATTGCATTTTATAAACCAATAAATATCAGTGCCAGAGGACTGATTCCTTCATTTTTAGTGTGAGTTTTGATGTGGCTCTGTTTTGTATTGTACATTTAAAGTACTATTATTTAACTATTTTCTGATTATCATTTAGAGCATACAAAGGAAATAAAAATAAGTTTGTCTAAGACATCCTTAGAGCTATACACTCATATAATCTTTAAAACTAGAAGGAAAACCTTGGAGATCAACAAACCTAGCTCCTCATGTTATTGATAAGAAAACTGAAGTCTAAAGAATCTAAGTGATTTTGCCCAAAGTCACATATCTGATCAGTGGTAGTGTTAGACACAAACTCTCAATTTAATCCACTCTGCTTCCTCTCTGATTCTCTCTATTCACCTGTGGCCCACTCGACCTCCATCAGTGGTGTTATAATGGCACAACGTAATTCCCAAACGCCCTCATACTTTGGGATATGTATGAAGACTTGGCTTAACCAACTCTTAAAATAATCAGTAAGTTGATTCAGTAAATGAAAATACATTGGATCAACAGGGTGACTGTTGAGCAATTTGCAGGTCTAAATGTTGTTTGATGAAAATTTTTAACTTTTTCAAATGGTTATGCTGGTACTATTACAAACATCTCGTATTACTGAACCACAATAACATCAATTGATAGTCACCGTGTTGGTACTTTTATTACATATAAAACTAAGCACCTAAAAAAAAAAAACATACCTCTTACTGTTCCAATAAATTCTTCCATTCGTTGCAAAAGATATGCATCTCTTTCAAAATCATAGAAGTGGTGCTCTACCCAGTGCCGACATACATTTAATACTCTACAGCATTAACACAGAATTGAATTACATGGGAATCAAACATAAATGTTTATCACAATGCATGGTACAATACAAATGAAAACACAGTAACTCTTACCAAGTTATTCTTATCAGGGTGCCTAACACTTCCAAAATTCTACATTAAGACTTACACTATAATTTCTGATAACTGCTCTAATTAGTAAATTTAATTTATTAATTTTATTGTCACCCCGCTCCTTGTTTGGGAAAGGTCCTTATATACTTCAACACTAAAATGAAAGTTTGATAAAGACTTATTTGCTTCATTTATTTAATGCTTACCGCAGTTGCACAGGCTGTATATATTCTTTTCTAAATCTTTTCAGTTCTGCACTCAAGGGTTGATCTCCATTCTCTATAGCTATGCGATCAGCTTCTGTTGGCTCAGGCTCTGGAATTTCAAACCTAACATAAAATAGAACAAATTAATGAAAATACTAATTATATCGAGTTATACAAATAGAAAACCACAAATGTTTCCACCTGTCAGCAAAATCAAGAGAATACTGTAAAAAATTACTAAAAATATGCATGTCAGTGTAAATAAGTGAGACTTCTATAATATTAAAGGTTAATAAAATTATTTTTAAAATTTTAAAATAAATTAGTACTTGCCAATATAGATAAAACTAACTACAAACAAAATAAAGAATACATGCAAATTCTAAAAATAAATGTGACTATAAAGTTATGGGACTGATATTCATTTTTGGTCTGTGGAATTACTCTAAATCAGGTGACATAATCACTGTTAAGGGTAATTCCAGAAAAACTGACTGCTCTTTGTTTGGGTACATGAAATATTTTCCTTCCATCACAGTATTTGTTCACTGACAAGCTCCATTTTACTCAACATGAAGTATGTTTGAAAACTTACTTAGAACATCTAACTCATCAAAATTTGAATTTCTCAACTCTAAATTATAAATTTTATATAGATCGTTCTGTAAATTTGAAATTTCAAATACCGAGTTTTCACATACAAAAAATAATTTTTGTATTGAAATAATAAAAGCTAACAAAATAAATGTTCATTTAAGAGATTTTATTTATTGAAAAAGTGCTCGTGAAGTATATTTTAAAGCTCATCTAACATTTCTGAAAAACATAAGATCTTAGCTTAATCTCTTTTTTAACAAAAAATAATGAATTTAAATATTTTTTAAATGGACAGACCTTTCTATTATAAGACTCAGTAGTTCTTGAGGTTTGCAAAAGGATCTGTATGTTGTAAGAAATGTCCGAACAAAATTGGGATCTAAGAAGAAAAAGGAAAAATATCTTATTAAACTCTGTGATTCAAAATGATTAAAACTATTATTTACATTTTCAAAATAGATCAAATAGTCAAGTTTAAAAGTTCCAAAATGTTTTGACAAACAGACTGGGCTTGGTAATGCACTGCTAGCTTAGTGCCTCCTAAATTAGTGGTGAAAACATTGATATTAAAACTTTACATCAACTTATTTCTTGCCCTCTGCACACGGACAAGATGATCTTAAAGTCATCGGCCATAGGAATGAGCAAGAAAGAAAAGCAAAGGTAAAGCAGGGAACCAGGCTCCCCTCCCACCTGCTACCAGGATCTCAAAGCATCACCAGTTGGTTTATCTCCCTTATAAAGAGAAAGGCCACAGCAATAACCCATTACTTTTCCTTTCATCAAGATTAGTTTATCTAGGATTACTTGTCTAGCTTTCTTTAAATCATGTTAACAGAGCATACAACTGGAAACTGGAATTTATAAAGTAGTAGCTTAAGTTAAATACAGTTTTTAAATTATTTGCTAAAAATCTCACAACTGCTTAAAGATGCTTACAAATACTTATAAGCTATTAAAACTATTAAATGTGATAGAATATGTTGGTTTGGTCCTATTCCAACCTTTAATTGCCTTTATTTCAAGTAGCCACACTGAGAGATCAATCATAAATACAGGAGTCTCCAATCCCTTCCATGAAAGGACCTACTTTGCATTCACATCTCCATGAAGTAAAACAAGAAGCTGAGTGTGATCACTCCCACAGGCCTGGCCTACTCCCATCTCTCCTTAACAGTATTCTCCTAAGTTGTGGAGAAAGGCTGCTGTCACTAGCACAAGAGACTTGGGCTGTTGTCTTGTGCATAAAGAGGGGGAAAGACATCTCCCATAATGGGGGGGAAATCAATCACTTCTATAATTCAAATTTTATTAAGGCCCACATTTAATTGTAAATCTTTTTTTTTTTTTTTAAGGAGGGGAAAGTTCAGTAACTTGAATCTTTTATTGGGAGCATTCTTTTCCTATTTGTATTAGGGACTGGTAAACTCCAATAGTAAATTCATAGAGGGCAGCAGATGCCTTTATTTCTGTTAGGCTACATAACATGAGTCAAAGTTTTATAAGAAGCATAATGTCTTTTATTAGCATAGGATTTAGCAAAAGCACAATGTATTTGTTTGGAAAATTTCTATTTAGGCTGATTCTCACTAAGAACCATCCTAGGTTTAGCCTTAAAATAAAATGTTTATAATAACTTTTTCCCCAAAGAGCAAATTCATGGATTTATCATAAAACAGAAATATACTTCCAATCTATTGATATATGTGGTCATCGAGATAATAACTGATTTAAATATCAGACAACCCTGAATTTAAAATAATACTATTTTAAGTTAAAGAAAGATTTACAGGATAAAAATACATTGGTTTTAAATGTCCCCTTCTTCGTTAGCTTTATGCCTTCTGAGGCTAGAGTGGGTTACTGATAAAAGTAATTTAAATACATATAATCCTTTAATAATTTCCTCTCTGTTGGTATTTTATTGTTTGTCTTCAGTTACAGAGTTCCTCAAAAGTTAAAGACTAATGTCTCATCCAGAAGAAAAGATATTAAAACAGAAGGCTGTACAAGATTTTAATACAGAGATTTTTATCGGTTTCATCACAATCTTCCCTTTCAAGAATCTTCTTCCTGTTCTGCAAATCTATTTGTAAGGTGAGGCTACTCAAAACAGCATGTTTAGGAAGCAAAAGCAGTGGCCACTAGAGAGATGCTGAGTTGTCACTGTTGGAGAGAGCCCACACCCGCAGTACAGAGTATTCCAAGCATCCTTGACCTGTGTTCCAAATTTAGGGTACCCTCTCCCTTTTTAAAGGAAAAGTTTATTTCAGTCTAAAAATCTAAAATCAACAGCCACATCCATATTTTCTCAAATGCCATGAAAATCAGGCTAAAAATTTGAGGGACATCAAGGGGAATTTTAAGTTGAAAAACAGAATAAAAGCAAGTTCTAAGTGACTTAAAGTATGTTTTAAGAAAACTGTGGCTATGTTTAAAGGCAAGCTATTTCTAAACAGACTTTTCATCTTCTTAAGCCAAAACTTCTGGCCATTTGAGCACTTTAGTAATTGATTATAATGCTGGGAAAGCCATGATGTGTCTCATTGCCACAGTCAAATGGGATCATACCAATTCTTGGTCTGTTATGTAACATTCTCAAAGAACTTTGACATAACTTATTTCCTATGATTTCTGTGAGGTAAGCAGGGCAGGAAGAGATGGAACTAGACTTATCTACGGTCATACTGTAGAGTGGCAGAGACGGACCCCGAACCTAGATCATGTGATTCCTGATTTAGTGCTCTTTTCTATCATATTGTTTAACCTCCCTGGATTAAAGAAACCCTGAAAGTTTCCACAGCTGTGAGATCTAAATATAAACAATTAAACCATGAGTTATATAACCACTATAGAAATTTACGTGAATGATTAATTCAGAATGTACCTGTACTGCTAATCTTGATTAAAGGCACCAGAAAGTCACTGAAAAATTAGCAGTCTAATTGTGATTCTGTAACTCTTGATCAGCCTTCTTCTAGATTTTAGGAATTAACAGCTGTACCTTCCTGTATACTGTACAGGGGTTCTGCAGCTGGCAGTGAAATAAACACTCCCAGAATCTTGACTGTTGTATTAGGTTCTAGAGTTGTTTTTAGCTTGACTGGAATTGAGTAGTTTTGCCAAAAAGACAAAAGCAGCAGAAACTAAAAACAAACCAAGAAAATCTGGCAAAAATTTAAGTACTTTCAAAAAATATCTTAAAGGCTGCATATAGTCCCAGGCTTGTATTAATTCATATTCTATTTTTAATCTAAACCAATGAAAAATTGCTAATGAATGAAAAACATATTAAGAAGACAAAATACTTGTATTTGAAATTTTACACAGAAAAGCATAAAAATTCCAGATGTTATTTTTATTTCTATTGCATCAGTTTCTCCATTTCAGTGACTGTAACTAACCACTGGAGACCTTTATCTTACTGATGATGTAAAGAGCTAAGATAATATAAACAAACACCCATCAATAAGGACAGGTTATATAATTTTGAAAGAAAACAGAGTACCTAGTTCCATTGATTAGGCAATGGGAAAAGCTAAGTTTTATACTGCCGTTGTTAGTTGTGGAGCAGCAGTTATCTACCCATATTCTAAAACCATGTTGCAGAGAGAGATGAAAGGTAAACACATGAAAATACAAAAGCCAGTCTGGATTTGGCTTTAAAACATAAGCAGGAACATATAATCATAGTAAAAAAATTAAAAACAGCCCATTTTTATATTTTCCTTTCTGTTTATCACTTGCTTGTGGAGATAATTCCACAAAGTTCTTTCTCAAAAATGACCTCCTGATGGATTTCAATGTGGTCAACAACCAAGACGTTTTCTACAGTTTTTCCCCCTCATCATTAGAGATAACATTACTCTGCTACTTGACTCTCAAATCCCTGTGCTAAGGTTTCCACCATGTTCACTAGTTGCTCTGCTTTCCCAAATCAAAATAGCTAACTCTATTAATACCTGCCACTCTACCATCACCAACCTGGTTTAGGTCCAGGTTATTTCAAACAGAAGCTGGAGTTATTTTTTTCTGCTGACCTTCTAGCTGTCTCCGTTTTCCTCACTATAAAACCATTCTTCGATATTTTACTGCACAATACTTCAAAATTTTAGGAACTCAAGAGTATACCTACATTAGTGTTCAGAATATAGATGGGAAGTGATAATCCAATCCTTTTTCCTTATGTGCCTATTTTGATTGACACTTGACATTTTATTTGACAAAGTCAATGAACTTTGTATTTATTACATAAAGAAGTTATTTATATAAAAGACCACCCTACCCCCAACCACCATAGTAAAACACTGTTATAATCAGGATGTCTGTTCATGTGATAATTCTCCCTTTAATGCAGCCATTTAAAAAGCTACAAGAAACAATAAGCTTCTCAACAAGGACTTATAAACAATCAGTCTTGAATTCCTTAAAAAAGGAAACAGACGCTATGCTGACGCACAAACACTTTTTAAAAAAATCAGAGAGTACAAAAATAGAACAGCGCTGCCCTATAGATAAAAAATTGTTCAAAAGATCTCAGCTTATATAGGACACAAACTCAAAATAAATCTAATTCAGGTTTTTGAGGCTTTTCCATATGAAGGTATAAAATAGCAGTAAATACTTTAAGCAAAAATATCTTCTGGCTTAAGTTTTTTCAATGCCATCTTCTGTAAAAGAGAAATTACCATGCAAGGGAAACACCTTTTCGCTCACTTCAATATGCAAAGCTTTTATTTCCCATAAAATGTCAATTCTGAATTATCCTTACTTCAGGGTCATCTCATTTTTCTAAAATAGACTACCAAACTGGACACAGTACCACCTATCATTTCTCTACTTATGTTGTTTTAGGTCTCATTAATTAACTTGTACTTTGTTGCCTACAACAACTCTGTAACAGAAGTGAAATTCCTACTCTCAGCTTTTTATTTGTGCATATTGCTTTGTGCTTTCTTACTTAGGATAATAGTCTCTTCATACCATTGCCAGATTTAGAATGATCCATCCAATTGGATAATTTTTCCCCTAGTTTTTGGGACAAATCTCAAAGTTCTGATATAGTTAGCCAATTATGATTCAACCAGAAACACTGAATCTGAGAGACAAGTTATAAATTAGATTCCACGTAAGACCCTGTTGCAATCTTTTAAACAAGTTAACCACTTTCTAATTCACCTAAATTTAAATTTTTCTTTCCACAAAGCTTTCCCTTTACAGAGCAAACTACATCAATAGACTAATGATTGGGTTTTGTAAAAAAATAAAAAATAAATAATGATCAGTATCTATACATAAAAAATCTATGCATTCCAGTGGAAGTGTATCTATAGTCAGAGCTTACCTATATCGTATTTCAATAAGAAAAAAAAAATTACTGACAATATCTTCATAGTAGACACGTTTGCCCAGAAACGAACAAGCCATTTACATTATTGGCAGTTCAAACCAAGGAAGTTATTTATTTTTTATGAGCTCACATCTGTACCAGATCCTTTTACTTAATTATTAACACATATAATTTAAAAATTACAACATATTCTATTCATGAAAACAATCACCTTATATGAGTCAATGTAACATGGTAGAACGTATACTCTATTTAGAGTCAAGAAACCTAATTTTTGACTTGTTCTGGAATTAACTGGTAATAGAACTTCTAGCAAATCATATAATCTTCAGGGGCCTTGGGATTTGTCTACAAAGTGAAGGCCTGGACATCTCTCTAGACTAGAGATCTATAGCTCCATTTTGTACATTACTGTTAAAATATTTGAGGGATAAAGTTGGCTGACACCACAGTGAAGTCTGAATAAAGTAAGGTTAAACCAGTTTCTCTTCTGTTTTTATGACAATGTCTAACCAAACTATAATAATCTAAAGATGTCTGTAAGTGGTGTCTTATAGTATTCATTAACTTTTCTCATGTATTATATCCAATGTCTTTTATTACAATTCTATATAATAAAAATGTGTAAGTTAAATGTTAGCTTTGTTTCAGTGTAAGCGACAACCTGTACTGTATGTTCTCCAATAAACATACCTACTAACCAAATCACAAATCCCTTCTTTCTTTGGGGAGGCTGAAGAAAGATGAGAGAAGAAGAGCAGACCAACAGTTCTTAAAAACAAATGGTAACTTGATCTGTTACCATTGTAGTGAGGCCTTAAAAGTCCATTTCAGTTTTACAAGTTCATAGATGGTCTATTAAAAACCATTCTATGTTGCCAGTAATAACTTCAGTAACAGGCCTTACAGAATAGTCCAGATAAGCTAACAGTTAACACTAATTTGTGCGTACTGTAAACCACAACTCACGAAAGCTGCTTGTAGACTTGTTTCACCAGTAATATATTTATGGAATAAATTAAAATATTCAGTTAAGCTTCAAAAGAAGACAGAAAAGAAAAATGTCAAAAAAACTTAGCCACAACACTTCCAAAACCAACACTGGCCTTTTATTTCTCAAAAAATTATTCGAAGGAATTTTTTAAAAACTTACTTTTTTAAGTAAAATAATCTCATCAACTTAAATTTTCAATACACTTAACTTTGGCAAAGTTCTATAAATCTTGAAATTTAAGTGTTTTATATTTAGTATAAGTAAAAGCACTCAAAATATTACTGTATACCAAAGCTAAAAATTGATACAGAAAAGAAGTATCAGACAGAAATAACTAACAAACCACCATTACAAAGTACCATGTCCACCGACTTTAGCTAACATTGTACACATTAAGGGAAGAAGACTTTCAAGACTACAAGTATCAGCTTGTTCTAGTTAACTCTGCTTTAAAGTGTCCTCATTTAAAAAATAAATAAAAAGCACAGTTCCCCAGAAAATAGTTGTCATTCTTCAGCTGCTTATTAATAATCATAAATTAACTTTGTGAAACATAGCAATTTAGAGAAAACTTTTATCACTCAATAAAGTCTTAGAGAAACAATTAAAAATTTTGTAACTTGAAAATGTTTTCCTGCCCAAATATCACTGACTTGTGACAGTAAACACTAGTAGTAAGTCTTCTTACAATGCTCTACAGGAAAAAAAAAAAAAAAAAAATTAAAACTCTTTCTTATAAACACAGATAAAAATCTAAAGATTAATTTTACTACAAATGAGTCTAGGAACCCCAAACAAAGGTACTTAGGATGAAATGATAAAGTTTAGAATGCTTATGTTATAAAAATTCTGTAAGTCCTCTAAGGGGACTTAAAAACCAGGAAAATGTGGCAAGAAGGGCAATTTGAACTTTTATAGCCTTAAAAATCCCTTAAACAGAAAAGAAGTATTCTGTAATCACAAATTTTGGGTAACTGAATAAAACATTTTTACAGTTGTAGTCTAGATCATAAAGAACATAGAGAAGGTTGGTGAAGTGCAACTAAATTGGCAGGTCATACTACTGAAAAATTGTACCTCTCAACAAACGACTTTGTATGGAAAAAAATTACAATAACCTATTTGTTTTTCATGTAAAATCTAGGCAGCCTGTTTATATTTCCTATGATTTTTTAAATTTTTGGATCATTAAAATAAATACAATGACTATAGACATTTCTAGGTGAAAAATTATAATAAAACTAGAATCCCTGGCTTTCAGAATTGCAACATTTAATATTAAATAATCAGGTTGAGGAGTGGAAACTGAGAGAAAGCAATGCTGTGTATATTTGTACTACCAGTACAATTTTGTTATATTAAAATTTTTGTTTACTTTATAATCTCAGTAATGGAAAGAGAAGAAAGAAAAAAAGATAAAGGAGTAAAAAACTTTTTAGATCCCAATAATGATGAATTATTACTAACTTTAGTCTTGTTTCTTCTCTTTCTAACTGGTAAATTTAGCCAAGTGACCTCATTTTCTCATCTATAACTGATGGTAAGGTTTAAAAAAAAGTATGTAAGTATTGTAGAAAAAGTAAAACATTCCAAAGAAATACAAACTGATGATATTTTTAGTCAAAGAAAAGAGGTCTTTGGTTGTTAGTTTCTTTTCTATTTTAGGAACAATAACCCACGCAGGAAAGAAAATCAGTTTGAAGCAGGAAAACAAAAGTGACAGGCAACTTCGTATTTCTTACCTGCGTACATATGGTACGTAAGCCTCTCTATAAGTTTAATAACAGTTCCTGCTTTGATAATTGGAATTCCAGCCTTGGGCTGCATGTTCTCTTCAAATATAATATTCTCTTCAGAGTCAGGCTCCGCAAATCTATAAACATCAGCACTAGGCAGCCTCATCTGCTCCTCTTTCTCTTCCTGTAGCATTGTTACATCAAGCATCCTTTCCAGTGTACTCCGGTACTGTAAAGATATCAATGCTGCCATCCAATTGTTTTTCTCTTCAGCTGACTTGGCAGAAAATATAACACTATTTTCATCTTTTAAAATTATTTCAAAAGCATGCTTGTATTCATTGGTGTCATCTTTATCATTAATTTGTACCTTTCGCATAAAAAACTTTTCTTTAAGACGATATTCTGCATTGCTAGCACCAGGAAGTCTTGGCTGCCCATGATTTGATTTACAGCAAATCATTAAGCCATCAAAGAGAAATATGTGTCTCTCATGTTTGGCTCCTACACGTGTAAGAGTTCCTTCCATTATAAATTCATTGCAACACTGTCCAATGTCTTTTCCCTCCCAACCATCAATATTCTTCTGAATCTCATTCATTTTCTTGATTGCTAGTTGTTTCCCCTTCATTTGTTGACTATAAAACCGACATGCAGATTCACTAGAATAAAGAAAAAGGCATTATTAATACACAGATGACAGAAAACCTAGAGTTCACGTAAATAAGGGAAAGTGTAAAAGTTAGATTTTTACAAGTCTCACTGAGAAAGGTATTCACTAATTCCCCAAATAGATTAGTATTACACAATTATACAATTTTGAAAATTAAAGCAACCTAGAAATTTTTTCAGTGTTCTAGAAAGTACAATGATTGTTGACAAAATTCTACTCTATAAATGTAACTACAAAATGATTATTTCTATCTTGGCTACTAAATATTTAGAATGACAAAAAGTAGTCCAAGACAGTAAAAAAAAAAGTAATTTGAAAGATTAAAATAAATTATTTAGAAGGGTTTAAATGGACAAGACCCAAAGCTAAAAACATGTAGCACATATTATAATTAGGGAAGTGGAAGCAATGTTATCTGAATTAATGCCTCAAGTTATATAATCCCTAAAATAAAGGACACTAATAATTTTACTCTGACAGAACAACGATGCCAACATAAATCTACCCAATACATTTTACTCTGTCTCTCCTTTAGCTTACCAGTTGACTCTCAGGAGGTCCTGTCTGGGAGTATGCAAGGAAAATGCACAAATATGAAAGGTTTTTCAAACAATAACAATTCTCTTGGCTTTGATGTCACTTCCTCTGAAAGACCAGGCTTGTCACTACAACTATTTTCTTCATTGTTTACTTGAGGAGGGAACTGGGATCCCTGAATTTACACCACAATATTCAGGGTAAAAAGAAGGATATTTGAAAAAGTAAAAATATTCACCTCAGTCTTCGTTTTGCAAGACTTTTAGAACATATTTTTTCCATACCACTCTGAACATTAAGCAAAGCTGTTATTGCTTGTTTTAAACATTCCTTGTCTTCTTGATCTTCACTTTTTTCTTCTAACTGCTGTAAAGCCAAAATGACAAATCTGAACCAATAGTACAGTTTCGGATAGAATAATAATAAGCTCATTTAAGGATAAAAATAACATTTATTCAACTGTCACCACAATAAAAATTTTAAATGTGTCATTAAATATTCTTTTTAAAAGTGTTTTTCTTGTGTGTTACTATTAATACACAACCAAGTTTTCTACCTTAAAAGACCAAGATTAGCAGTTTTAAGATGGGTTACATCTTGCGACAGGCAGTAATATGTAGTTTCTCAAAGTGCATACCACTGAAAAGAAATGGGAAGCATAATTCATCTATTGAATGATCACAGGAGTTAGCATAGCACTAAGCATGTAGAGGAGGTTTTTTTCTTAAGTGTGGAATTTTGTCTTAGGTTTCTGATCCCTATATTACTGTTATATAATATTGAGATGATAAGGAAGATAAATATACAGAGAAGGATGCAATATAATAGAAGGAATCTCAATTACAAAACCTAGGATCAAATTTTGACTCTACTGCTGTGTGACCTTGGGGCAAGAGACTTGATCTCTGCGCCTTACTTTTCCCATTTGCCAAATAAGGCTTATAAAAAGCCTACCCTGCCTACTTTTAGGGGTTGTTATTAAAAACCAAAGCACTTTGTAAATGGTAACACACAATGTAAGTGTAAATGGTTTTCTTTGTAATTACACTACAGAATTAACATTAGTATAATAAAGAACTTTGTTCATATCCACATTAAGATTTTGAGTAAAGCTGCAATACACATATTTATGAAACTCAAGCGTATTTTCTATTACTGGCAAATATCTATGTCAGACAAAGTCTGTATTTAACAAGAACTTAGTCATCAATAACTAATTATCAATACAGTAAGGTGGCTATGATTCAAGCAAGCAATTAACAGATGTATGAGTGACAATAATTCAGTAACTGAAATCTTCTAAACCTGTTCCTGGTTACCAAAAGGAAAAGTTAAGAAATCACATATTGGCTGGCTGCAATGGCCTATGCCTATAATCCCAGCACTTGGGAGGCCCAGGTGGGAGGTTCGCTTGAGCCTAGGAGTTTGAGATACCATCTATTAAAATAAAATAAAATAAAATAAAATAAATTTTATCAATAGAGTTTTCATCCAACAATTTAGGAATACCTACTCTCTACCATAAACGAAAAGACTTGAGATATACAATCATAAAATATTCAAAGTGATTTATAAAGAAGTTTATTTTTCTTTTAGATGGAGTCTCTGTACCCCAGGCTAGAGTGCAGTGGTGCAATCTCAGCTAACTGCAACCTCTGCCTTCTAGCTTCAAGCAATTCTCCTGCCTCAGCCTCCCAAGTAGCTGCGATTACAGGTGTCTGTCACCATGCCTAATTTTTTTTTTTTTTTTTTTACTTTTAGTACA